CCTACGGGATGACACGAGACTCCACATCCTACCGCATGCCGCAAAGCGTACCCGTGAGGTGTGCACTTCAAGAAGGGAGTGAGGAAGAGGGAGAAGGCGATACTGTTTCCTTCTCATTGCCACTCTTCGTATTCCCCTCTCATTTCTGCCGATTTTAATTGATTGGTGTAGTTTGTTGGCGCTGCATAATTACCGGTGGAGCAAAAGTGGAATGAAACGGGGATAGCAACGCACGTGTTTCTTAAAGCCTTCATTGTCTATATGTAAGTAGAGAGGATCAACTGGGAAATATTAGTGGGATAGAAAAGATCACGTATGGTCTACCTTTTCCCTTGGCTTTTGAAGGCACAACATTTCATAAAATTGGAAATTCTGTCATCGTTGCAAAATACTGCTGAGTTTTATGGCGCCTAATTTAATTCGTAATTTGTGTAAAGAGTGGATACAATATTGTGATTGGATTACATATTACTTTTTCTTAATCGCCTCAATGACTCTTTTGAGAATGCAAATTAGAAGTTGTCTAACCTCTATAATACTAATAGGAACTTTTTCACAATGAAATTTCCACTTGGTTTCTCTGCTAGGTTCGGAAAATATCATTACAGTGCCTAAATATAGCGGGTTTTAAAATTGAAGTGCTTGAAGATTTATGAATTACCCACAATGTACACTCCAGACTTAGCTCCTGATTTAATTCAAATACCTTCCTTTTAGCGTGATTCATTTACTTTATGCAAATTCAATAAAGATCGTATCTAGGATTGCCATTTTAAGATTGCTTTTTAAAAAAATTTACGATTGTTGGAAATGCATTCAAACCCACAGTGAGGATTCCTATTCAAAGTTGCAGAAATTTCCATTAGTTACCTTTTCTTGAATGTCCCTAAAACCTTTCACAGTTAACGTTTGTATTGTAATTGCTTGGAGACACTTTGATTGTGTTATCATACACCATAAGGACCATACCAACTCGGCCTTCCTCAAATTAGTTTCCACAACTGAATTTAAGAATTTGCTCCCTGAAAGGTAGTTCTGGTTTCACTTTGGTGGCAGCCCAACGAGATATATAAGAAACGTTGCAAATCATTTCAAGAACGTATCCACATTCTAAACACTTCAAACACGGCTTATATACATAAGGAATGTAGGATCACTAGACAGCTGGTGTTAATAGCCGAATTTGCGGGGACTGAATCAGGAGGATCAAGACAACCGTGTCATCTGTTTGACGGATGGTACACTTTTAAGCTCCGCATTAAAATCTGAGACAAATGACACGGAATAATTAGGCGATAAAATTATTTTATAAACTTTTTAAAGTGGTATTATACCCCTGGTTAAATGTGACGATCGACCGCATCGCACTGACTCATCACTGAATACTTTAGATCATTCTGTATGGAGAGAAGGCAATGTTTAAACTCACCCATGAGGAGAACGCCACGTCACAAAGGTGGCCCAAATTATTAAGCACGCTATCTTCAGCACACTACGGTCGCTCTCCTTCAAGCTTGACGATTAGTTCTGTGAATTTCGGAATTATGATTCAATGGATTCTCGTTAAGATCGATTACAATTAAGTAGAACCTGGTTTCCTTCAACTGGTATCAGTTTTACAGAGCTCAAAACTGGACTATTTGTCGAAGGTTCATATGGTTGTGATCCCCCTTCTATAGCGGGTCTCCACAAATTTAGTCGAACAACGCATGCATCTTCCTTCTTCAACATTTAGGTTTAGCATATAGACAATAAAAGCAGGATTGCATTCCCTAAGACCATACAGAAGGTTTGTTGCGGAGTACAGAAGGACCAGGAGGTCTTTGACTTGGATGGGGAAACGTGGCACTATTTAAACAAATATTGCTTAGATTCACTGGATATGAGAAGAACTTAAACAGATAATTAGGCGATATTAAAACGGCAGTTAGATGGAAATGATGAATAAACGTGAATGAAGCCTGTAGACAAATTCACGATTTTTATTTTATTAAAATAGATTTGTTTATTCAGGTCAATGTTTCCACGATAATCAGGTGAGTTAAAAATTGTACCCTTTGTCAATTCACTTTTTGCCTTAAGTGGCACTTTGTAAATAAATGCACTTGACAGAATCCACGAATAGCAGAAATGACAAATAAATTTCATCATAGTTGAAGAATTATTAAAAGCTTCAAGACTGTATGATCTCCTTTATTGCCTTAAGGTTAATTACACTTCACTTGGATGCAGTTGTGATGATCGGCGCAGATGGGTAGAAACCGACACTACCAGGAACGGCACTCAACAAAAAGAGGGTCAGATGAGAAAACGATCTTCCTCTAAAGGATGCATAAAGATGTGCAGGCCTATTTAGTGCACTGGTAATCGGCATTCACGACAGTTGTAGATGTCTACTAAGACCTGTCCTGAATTCATAAACTACTTCCTGCCAAAGAAAAAATAAACAGCAGAGTAAGGTTAAATTGTATTGGAACTAGTCAAAAAATGTGTGAAAATTGGGAATTTTCCATCATTCTTAGCAAAATGAAATGGATGTGGACTACTCTGTTGATTTCTGTTGTAAGGGAAGCTGAATGATTTCTGGAAAATTTATGTTGGAAGTTGTAAAATAAAGTCCTTTTGAATCTAAAAAAAACAGTAACTAAATGTCATTGTAGGTGTGTTTTTGTCCTTGATGGTAATGCCTTTCGACATCATTGGAAGTGTTCAATTGCGGATGCGAAGTCAAAGTGCTATACTGCGAATGGTAAATCGGCTGCTGACAATTAGGTTAGTAATATCTTCCATCATTCCGCACTTTTGTAAAGAAAAAAACATTGGAGCATTTATTTGGAAAGCTAAATTATTCAACAGCTAAATAGAATAAGAAGCACCGATATAATGAAGTCGTGTTTAACTCCGTGAGGTTAGTTTTTTCTTTGCATTATGTAAAGCCGTAGATTTAGTACTATTTCTTAGTAATCTGTTTTTGCACCTTCTTAGAACTCATTGGATAAGGCATACTTCTTCACGCCAGCATATAAAATGGTAAAGTTATTTCTCTCTAGCTATACATAGCTTCAAACCTGGAGAGATACGAGTGTTTGGCTAAAGAAGCATTGGAAATTTCTTCATTCTTAACATGCATGCCCAGAAATACGTGGCATGAAATTTCCACAAATTAATTCAAATCTTTCTGTCATGAAACTGAATGAGTTTTAATAATAAACAGCTCAGAACTCAACAACCCGAGAATGGTTATAACCAATTGCAGCCCGGTTTAACCTCGAATCATGAATCACGCCTTCCTTAATGTGTTTGCTACCAGGATCTTAGGGAAAAATTGGCCTTCACGGTCTCGATGGTTTATTGTTCTGATGTACCAGTTGATTGATGTTTTTGTTCCCTCCAAATCCTAGTCACTACCTTTTGGTTTGACGTGTCTCACGTATGTGGCGTAACTAAAACAGACCAAAACATCTCAGTGTCACAAGCAAAAGTGGTAGATCTTAAAATAGGCACTCTGTCTTTCTTCAACCGATCGAAATTCGTCAACAATCTACAACTCTTGTTTGAAAATTGCACTGCCTGCACTACGTCAAAATGTCTATTGCCAGAAAAACACATTGTGGCAATTATTTCGGCCAAATAAAACTCTTACAAAAGAACGCCGTTTTATATCCCGAAAGTAGTTATCAGACATTACTTCCACATCAGGCAAAATTGTATAGTGATTCCGAAGTTTACAGGATCCGTCTAAGCCTCCCAATCACATTTATCCGTCTCAAATACAACCAATGGTGTTATATGCAAGATCGCATTCTCAAGAATGGGGTACGAATAACCCACTATGGTGAAAAATTGGACTAGCTGCATGTGACAGAGAATTGGTAAATTAAAAGTTTATGAAATAATGATGAGAGTTTGAGCCACTTTTAAAACTCCCTGATTTGATTTTGTTGAAGTGTGCCACCCTATGAGAGCAGATCTCCCGTATGATACAAATGTTTATGTATTGAGATAAATTTGTAATTTGTTGCAAACCGAATGTAGCTTTTTAAATTTTTGAGGGGATAGACTCTTCATATTCATCATAAAATGTTCGCTATTCATCGAATTAAATGGGTAGTGGAACAGGGCTATCGAATGGTTAGTCCATCATAAAGTGGTAAATTACGGAAAATAATAATAATAGTTATGATTGGGAAAAAGTGCCTTTTAACTACTTTTTCAGCCTTCCGTCCCTTCGTTTAAACGGTCAGACTGTAAATAAAACTGGGAAGCCAACTTTTTCATTCATATTGAGCGATGCAGCATTGATGTGGGACCGTCGAAATCCAGACAAAACATTCCCAGACTTGTCTGCCTAAGTTCGAAGTAAACACACTAACAACACACTCATGAAAAATCTTGGCTTAAGAATATACCACGTTAGATTCTATTCATCATTACCCACAATCTTCTATGATTAAAGTTCTTACTTTAACGGTGCTTTCACATGATAATATAGAAGCGGTAAACTGATGCGTCAAACTCCGTACGCATGTTATTGTAGGTACACCTATTGTAACTTTAATAATCTATTCAGGGCCAGAATTTTATTTGCACGCTAACAAAAAAGAATCACATGAAGGCGTATTTTATATTTTCACTGAATCGACAGATTAAAAGAGTATTTCGTCAAGAAGGAATGCAAAGCTGATATTCGTTTAAACATTTGAGTTGAGGTCGGCAATCTGAACTGATTCTGCGGCTCCAACAAAATTTTCAAGACCTCTGGTAAGGGCAAGGTTGTTTCAGTCGCAATAGGACCAACCGAAGATGGCAATGTGGCGAGATCTGGGTGAGTCAGACAAGAAGGGCCGGTCTTCCCCACCCAGCCGCAAGTGGCGGACGTTAATTGGCTTGTTTTTGTGTGCCTGTACGCGGGATTGCAATGACGGCAACTATTATCCGCACCACACGCATGTGATAGCACACATCACAGCCTGCCAGGGATCCAATCACTGCACTCCCTCTAGTCGTCCAAGTACCGTGAATGCCAGCCTCCACGCTTCCCATTGGTCAGTTTGGTCGATTGCAAGCCCACAAACACACGGATACTTACATGCACACAGCCCGTGAATTGGTATCGAGAGAGGAGGAAGAAGGAGTGGTTTTCTGTGTCCACTCTTTTGTGGGAATTTGAAATTTTCTTTTCCTCCTCGTTCTCTTTCGATCTAACATGTCTGCAGGAGCTGCGGTGATGAATGTTCGTCAGAGCAACAAGGACACCCAAGTCCTCAAGGTCGGTGGGGAGATGTTTGATCAGGAGGGTCATCGTGTTGATGTCACCGTCTGGTTTCGTCATCGTAATGAAGCACTCTATTGTGAGTCACTTCTCCAGCCTCCCCTTCATATCTCCACCCCTCATTTCTATTGGCTGGTTCGTCGTTGGGTTGTGATAATGGTCATGGGTACTCACGCTAAAGAACATTCTAAGATTCAGACGAACCATTTATTATCGTATGGGAGGAGAAAGCAATAATGTTTCAGAAACTAAGACGATCCTTTATTTTTTGATGCCTATCTGCAGAATAATTTGAAAGCTTTTTTCAAAACAAATGCAAGCTGACTAATGTTTTACTTGGTTGTAAGCACAGCCTTAACGGTTAGATCTTTAATATTCTTAAAGACATTGAGCAAAGATGAGCTCAGCACCGGTTCTATGCCAAAGTCACTGCTTTATGTGAGGGTTAACCTCCAAAACGAACGCACCTCTTTTAAATGTCTCAAAAAGTGTCATCCTTTAAGATTCGGTTAAACCGTCGGTGAAATAGCTAATTTGGAATTAGGTTGTCCACAATTATAAAAGATTGGGCAAACATATTAGTTTGGCAGTCTTTAAAATAGCACGTAAAGTTACTTTTTCCTAACTATGCTGGCTCCTTTCAACACTGCCGATCGGTAACAGAATGGGTTGCATTTTCAGCGAAAATAAGTCATTTTACCAGTGCTTGATATCGCATTTTACAGCCATCTTCAGAGCATTTTAAATAGACAATAGGTAAGCTCAAGCGCTCCTGCGGCCGTTATCTAGGCCAATTCGCAGGCCAATGGGTTTGTCACATAAAGGCTATTTGCTGGGTGAAGTCTATCTGTCTAGGTCATAGTAAGGCCAAACTCAATTAAAAGGCATTACCTAAAAGGCATAGCTCTTCGATATCGTTGAAAAGTTCACGCATTTAAAGATCCTTTCGATTAGCGTTCATGGCAGCAGTACACGGAATTGGCAGAGGGTTTGGTTTTTGACCACGATAGGTACCATACTACGGAATCTTGTTTTCAGTCTTCATTTATGCACAACTTCCAGCCCTTATTAATTTTTATGAAATAGATGTGAATATGACAGTTAATTCACACCAATGTCATTGGCTACCTCACTTAAACAACAAAATGTTCTGTTAGCCTGGATTTTTCTAGTAGCATTTTCACAGAACGCAGACCGATGCTGAATCGCATGTATGAAAATGGCAGTGTTGACCGCTAGGACTACGACTACTACTACCATCGCTACCTCTGCTGGCATTCTCATCATCCAATGCACGCGAGGTTTACATTTGACCTCATTAAAAAGCGGTGTGCAACCTTGGCAAGTTTTCTGTCCCGAGTTGATTGGCCAGGGATGTACGCTATTCTTGATTAACCCAAAGATCTGGCTACTGTTTTTTACTGGATATCAGATTTTCAAATATAATTAGGTTAAGGTGCAAGATGCCTTTTTCCGACTAAGATGATGCTAATCACGATGGCACCTTAATTTTCGGAATGTTAATTCGATACTTTCTCTTTTAAATGGGAATCCATTCAACCTACTAAAATATTTTCTTTTTATACTACTTCGTCATATTCCGAATTGTCTGCGGCAAGATTTCGTTTTTAATGCCAATTTTTGGGGTATTTTTTAACCAAAAGGTTAAACTTGGTTTTTGAACAAAGTCAAAGTGATTTCTGACCTGCAAACTCATTATTGAAACAAGCAAAGTTAATCAGGATAATGGGGCTATTGATTCCATTTAGCGCCATGGAAAAGCAAGGAAATAGAAGTACATTGATTACACGGATTCCAAGGTTCATGAATCACCTATTTCTAAGGGAATATTGGTGGTAACGCTACGCCATAGTCTAGCCACGACAACCAAAACATTTTATGATTAGTCCCAATTCCATTATTACTCCCCTTGCTGGAGTCATGGACTTTATTGGCTTCGGTTTTGTTGCAAATCTGTAGTAAATGGATGATATGGAGTTCGATGTGACAAAAGACGGAGATAGGAATGTATAGATAAGCCATGCCATCAGACATGAATGCACTCGATTTCAAGGTGAATTGCAATGTTAGTAGTCCACTGGAGATGTATCAATCAAACCTCTGCGGAGGCATACGCACCCACATCCACCCACGCACCTAAAGGGATGGGAAAGGTAAAACTAAAAGTGGGCTTACATGTTCTTCCCCGTGGTGGTGGTGTCGATGATTGCAATAACCCTCCCATTCGTTTGACACAGTTGACTTTGCCTCCATCCACCCACTCACTAGAGTAGCAATGCACGACGCTACACAACATCGCAGTCATCCTATTTTCTGTGCGCCTAGTTATCAGCACTACTAATCATCTGTACTGGCATGATCGGTAGTGTTGATGGTCATAATGCCAGCTTTGCCGTCTTTTCTTGTAATCAGTTCCGTAGTAAAATAAGTCCACTAAGAGGACATTCAATCAATGCAAAATTTCCAACTTTTTTGTCTTTTCAAACGGATATTCATGTGAAAATGGCAATAGGATCTTGTTCTTGTACGAAGACGACAGGCATCGGAAATGAGGGTTATTCTGTTCTGAAATTTTCAAAAAGATTCTATGTGTGTTTTGATTGAGACGCTTAAGTCTAGTCAACTAAAGTGATATATCTCGGGTATTGCTGGCATTATTTGGAATATTGACCTACTTAAAATACACATGTGATGCTGCCACCTTTTATGTGTGATGTCCCCATTTTATTTTCTGTATTTGTAGGCCACACATTTGTGGCATACAATCTTTACCAATTTGATGACGATCATTTGTATAAGTCGTGCCGCAAATAGATTGTCTCGGTTTGAAATACAATGGGGCGATATAGGATGTTCTTGGTATGAGGAAAGTTACCAAATTTTTATTTTTTAGTTAAGAGTTGTTCTGATTAAAAATTACACACTTGGTGTCAAACTAGAAAAATAGGCCATATGAACTGTGATGGTCGATTTTCTTTGAATACTCTGACAATCAAGGTGTTGGAAAAAACCATCGGATTCTGTAGAAATCTAGAAGCCAATTTTGCTTCAAATTGAACAAGCGCAAAATGTCTGTAAATGAAAAAATATGTGCGATTTCTTTGGGAAGTTAATAGATATCGTCTAGGAATGTTAAAATAATCGTTTTAGTTCCCCTTACTTTACTTGGTCTCCTGTAAACATTTTAAAGCATAAGTACGAAAATTGGAATTTTGCTGCCTGCTTTGAGACCTCTTAATATTTTTGCACTTGTTCACAGTTGTTTTGCGGCAATGGTCGATGAAACGCCAATATTCGGATTTTTTCTTGCAATCAAACCTATCGGAACATAAATTATCCTAAGGAAATCCCATCTCTGTCACTAATTACCGCCAATTTTCATTAAACATCCATTTAAAAATTGAAGTTTCTGATTTCATCAAACGAGTAGTCTCCATCATCATTTTTCGTCAAAAAGTAGTGTCTGAACCTCTTGAATGGTGCGATTTGGTGATCGTATGCACTTGTTGCGAAACATCTAGTAAATTCCGTGCTTATGGGTAGTCATTTCGAGTGTCTCAACGTATGCTATCTTTTTAAGTGACATTGGTTCTAGACAGACGTCTCGTTTCTGTGTATTTTCAATGTGTTTAGCATAATAGCTCTGGAGAGAATCTCGGCGTGTATATGTTATTGATGGTCGGATGTGTTGATAACTGAATTGCTAAGATTCGATTTCCCTCGTGTAGGTTGTAGCCTAAACGTACTCATGGAGATTTCAGTTAATGAAAGTGGGTATCAAAGGTATGTGAAATTTTGGGGCTGATTTAGATCCATGGTGAACACTAATTTAATAAGCTGCCGTGTGTGAAGACATGGTGCACCTTCGACCATGCACTTCAAAAGGAAAACGAATTTTAAGTGTTGTAAATCCTACTTTAGCATAAGTAAAATTTTGTCGTAACAGTTTGTAAAACTACCATTTCTGTTTTCTTTAGACTTTCTTTGTCTCCCCACTTTCCTAATGCATAAGTCAACTGCATTTCGTGCACACAAATCCATATAAACCGCAATTACACAAAACGCATGAAGGACAATGAAATTGATGTAGAATGGTCTTAATCTGAGGAAAACCATATTTCATTTTGATGAATTTTGACTTTCAGTTGATTTAGTAAGTAAATTAATGACGCTTGGCATCATGTTGGAATGATAGAGCAACTGACGGTCGATTTTTCCTGGAGATCCTTCCATAGAATGTGTTAAAACACATTAAACTTCCAGGGCGAATCTTCATTTGAATGGTTTTTTATTTCGGTGCGGTTTTTAAAAACTTTTTAAGCGTAACCTTAGAGTAAATGGCTGAATAAAAGCTTTGTTTTCTGAATTCTTAGGTGAATGAACGGCTGCGTTGGTTGAAATGTCAAGGTTTTACGCCTTGTGGTTAAGTCTAGGGTGATTAAATTATTTGTTGACTAAATAAGCGGTTGTAGAGCATGAATATTTAGGCATGCAGCAGAATATAAATTCAAAAATAACTAGGAAGAAGAGGACAGTTGTGAATCTTATGGATAAATCACCTCGCCTCATTGGTCCAAAACGCATTTTAAATCAGGAAGCATCTAAAAATGACTGGATGTTTTTCTTATTTGGATTGTTCTCATTTATTTCACTTTCCTGCAATAGGTGAAATTAATGTTTTAGTTACTTAATTATCTAGGTTTTATTTAAGGAAAGCAAATTAATATTGGAAAAGAGTGTCTCATTCTAACATAGTTTCACTACACTTTGAAGGCTAATTTTCGGGCAATTTTAAGAGGGCAAACTTTACTGCCTCCACTTCGTGCGGGTTGGTGGTCAAAACGCCAATATTCTATTTCCTTCACAAGATTCATCGTAATTGAGTTCTGCTTTGGCATAAAAAATCGTCACATGGCATGAATAATGAAGGCGTTTTGCACTTAAATTGAACACAAATTAAGGCGAAATTATCACATAAAGACCCTTAGACCCTGGGGTTACTTCAGCACCAAAGGTCTTGATCACATCAATGGAATACATTATCATGTTTTTCTCGTTCAAATTACATTTTGTATTTCTGTTAGTCCAAATAACTTAATTCCCCCCTCGTTTAGTGCGCTGCTACTTTTTCGGTCAAGAAACGTACTAATTCATGCAGAACTGGAATAATTTGCCTTTTTAGATGTTATGCGCTTGGCACGATAATTTCAGGACAAACTCCAGGAAAAACCTCTTTTGCCCTTTTATTATCCTCTGGTTGATAAAAGCGAAAAAAGTTTTGATACACCTTGTAAGCTAACTCCGGTGGGAATTTAATAATGAAAAAATCCTCATATAAGTATGTTTTATTGAAACAACTTACGAGTATTCTACGACAAAATGGAAATGCGGAAAGAGACATCATTGAATTTCCCCTCGAAATTGCGCAATTAAGTAGGCCCTCTGGAATACTGCGGAATCTACCCCTATCTTGCAGAGTTGTGATTTTCAGTAGTAAACCATTATGGCATTTCACACATTCCATTTTACCCTTTAAGAACTTATTTATGCTCCATTGAATCATAGAACATTTAGAAATATGATAAATACCCATTTTTCCCTAACAGTCGAATGCACTCGTAACGAAGGAATGAAAATTATACCGGGGAACATGGGAAATCCATTGTATGCTTAAAGTGCAAAATTCGTAATAAAGGGAGCTGTTTGAAAAGTTACCGACCTCATTGACTAAATATTCTTAACTTGCATTATTCCCAGTGTGACAACTTTTTCGATGTTATAGGTGAGTGCATGGACATCCAACATCCTCAATTAGCTTTGCTATTGAAATTTCACTTTCGTGACTACTTTAACAAATCTTTTTAACCTATGCAGAGTTCTGCTTTCGTCATTTCCGAACATTCCAACCCACTCCTAGAGGACATAACCACAAAATAAAAATTCGTCTCTGTGCAGTACACACAAACATTGTCAGCGACACATCTTCCGCCTACAAAAGTACATGACGTAAAGCAGTTAACGGGTAAATTTAGTAGCTATCTTTTGGATTTGTTTAATTCGTTCAGATAAGAAATTTATGTGTCCAGGATAAACACTCCCTTCCACACTATCCATCCTACAGTAAGACGCCGCTCCATCATTATTAATTCATGCTATTTATGGGTTTTGGATCCATCTTCACTCCATATGGTAGATCCATTCTTTCAAGCAGAATAGGTCAGTCGAAAAGTTCAGACCTGATTAATTTGTTGCATAACATCTAGAAAACATCTACAAAAGTGGCCATATTAACAGTAGTTAGACCATTCGCTCCCAAGATTTTGAAGGAACATTGATCACTACAACCAAAATATCTGTTTCTCAAATGGTGCTACTTGTCACTAATTTTCTGATCAATTTTGTTGTTACTCAAAATCCAAGGAAAGGTTACTTTGCTCCTCGACTCAACAACCCTCTCACCTTATTTTATTATTTTAAACTCGTCTGCACACAATTTGGTGTTCGTAGCTATTGTTAAATGGGTAAAGAGCATGTGTCTTGTGAGTGTAACTTCGGACCCAGGTAATGAACTTGGGATGTCACGGGTATATACGAGGCTTATGGTGAGATTATCAACGTTAAAGGTTAGTCTTTGTGATATTGGTACCTTCCCTTAAATCGACCACACAGCAAACAAGAAAGCCATTCAAATCATTTTCCCAAATTTATGAATAAAAAAGTGTCCCCGAAGATATTACTTAGTCTTTGGAAGGAATGAAACGAATTCATTTACTTCTCATCTTGTTTTAAGGTTTTATTGTAATGA